CTTGGAAAACAGACTCCGAGCATTGGTGTAAAAGAATTTTAGTTTGCAACATTCGACAGTGCTTCGTTCGGTTTGTCTCGGGTTTGCCAATATTATGTTGCTGCCGCCATCATGATGACTGGCTGGTTCCAAAACAACATCGTGTTCCTCTGTATTACTCGTCCCCTGAAAATGGCCAAGTTGCTCTCTCCCGCTGCAAGTCTCCTCTTCAACTCCGTTACCAATTCGCGGTGTTTCAGACGTTCCGCTGGAGAATAGTCCGGCTAAAAAAAACTTCCTTGTGAAAGTTTCGGAGGCTGCTTTTCCAGGACAGAAGTAAGCTAGCTTCCTCTTTACTGTTCAAAACAATTTTCAGAGGTCGTGGCCGCACAGTTTCTGATTGTTCGCTCACCTTCTTTCCGATCCTGAAGGCTGCGCGAATGGTTATCTTTTCATTCGAATTAAGCATTTCGTTCAGTAGGTGTTGAAGCATATTAAGGTCAGCGGAGATCCTCATCTTCGGGGTAGGAGCATCCGACTCCGATAGACCCTGGACGACTACGCAGTGCTGACGATCAAGGGGTTCATTTTTTCTGTTTCCGGCGGCCTTGTCAGCTGAAGGTCTCAGAAGATCCACCGGAGTCGTCTGGGGTTCTATACTCCCGTTGTGGCGCTTACCCTTTCCATCTTGCCATGAGCTTGTTTCCTCACTTTCAACTGAGGGTCCTGTTGAACACGCGGAATGGCTGAGAGAAGTTGATGGCTCGCTTGGGTTGACTCCCATAGAAACAAGAGACTCCGTTGCTATTTTCCAATCGTTCTGGATATCGGCGCTCTTGCACAGAGGTTTTCCACATGCTTTGTTCTTTGGCTGTTTTAGAGTTTTGCTCTTTCCCTTTTTCTTGCTAACTTTAGCGCTATTCACCGCGTTTTGCACACTACCGTTCGCTTGCACGAGTTCCCTTAAAGCAGTCAACTCTTTTTCGAGTTTTTGGACTTTCAGCAGAATAAATGAGCATCCAGTGCATGGCTCGTCCTCGTAACTAACAGGTTTTGCTGTGATAACGCTTTTAGCGCGCTTTGCGGGCCCCTGGTTGCAACTATAAAGAGAGCGAGCGCTAATCCTAGGTGGCAAGGCCTTCTCAATTGACTTTCCTTCATACATAGTGTCGTTTGTACTACGAATAATGTTTACTCCCTTATTTATTTCAGTCGGCTGGGCGTGCGCCGATAGTCTAGCGGTCATGTTGCTGGTCACACTACGACTGGACCTGGGTTCGAGTACCACTTGCGGCGAGTTTTTCGCACATTGTCCTGATGGTGTTTTGTCGACTCCCATTATTAATTCCAACGATACGCAAGGGATTCTAGGTATGGGCGAAGTATTTAAAGGTGTAGGAGGAGCTTTTTAAGCAAACCAAAAATATGAAGTAGGTATCAAACGACACAGCCGCTTCTGGATCTGGAGAACCCCGCGGTGCTGTTGGCAGAGAATTGATACGAAGGAGTATGGTCGTCCCAAAGAAAGTTCTGTCGGAGTTCTGAGTGGATCGTTCAAGGAATTGCTGATTACGCTTCAATTTCTTAATCCAAATGGGCCCGCAGAGCGTCCAGTAGGCAGAAATCCCGGAAAAAGCAAATCCCTCGGAGGTCGAAATTTCAAACCGAATTCGAAAGGCGCGCCAGGTTCAAACTCTCGCAGGGATCTCTCACAGGCAGGTTAATCATTGCTCGCTTTTTGACTAACGCTTGTATGCGGTTAGAAAAAGCGCATGCGGCTGCGAGAGATCTTCTTCAGAATGGTAGGAGGACGTAACTGAGCCATAACCGGTCACAATGTGAGAACAGGCTCTACACTGACTTTACCTCGCATTGCTAGACGCTATTAGTGCATCATCTGAGCACAGTTCTGCCCGACATCCCCCTCAGCTGGCAGAAGTAAGCAACGTCCATTACAGTTATAAGCAGGAATGTGGAAGTGTGGATAAATCTATTGGTGTTGGATCTGTCAGAGGAGGTTTTTAAGTCTAAAATAACCTCTGCCACTGACTCACGGACATTTATTGGGGAGGGGGGGAGGGGCGGGGACAGCATAAAAGTCAGAAACAAACCCATTAAATCGAAATCCAGTGTCGCCATAGTCGGGGTTAAAACAGGAAGTATTTTCGTTTTTATATCCGGTATGCGGTTTCTGAGACGTCGGATTAATCTCCACTTAGGTGGTAAAACGCATGTGGACGAGAGACGGAGCGTTGGTAAGCTCATTCTTCGGTCAGCTACGACGTGGTAGAGACGGGGGAGGAGGAGGAGGAGGAGGAGGATGAGGAGGAGGAGGAGAAGGAGGAGGAGGCGGAGGAGAGCAACATGGTTATCGAACACAAACTTAGGTTGACGGTTGCCTACTGAATGCATGTATTTGGATGTCAACCAAGCAAGTACGTCCGAGTATATGCAGCCAGTATGCAATCGCAAACCCAAGTTCGGGTCCGTTAACCATGTTGCGTGTCTGCTATGTCATGATCAACAAACCATGGCTCTCCCAGCTTGGTGTGCATTGACGATTTTTTGACACCTAGTTCCCTGCTGGTAAACAGGTCTTGTGCGCGGTTGCCCAGCCATCCTTCTCTTTCTGACTTGTTTATTTTGTTGTTGGTTACAATCCTGGTCAAATGTTTGTTTCTTGCGGACCAGGGAATGTGGTGGTACGCCAAGGTGTGGGTCCGGCCGTGCCAGCCACCTGCCTCCGGTCTTCTGGACTTTGTCTCGACACCGGGTCTATGTGGGGGGTGCGGGGGGGAGGAGAGAGTGCTGCAGATTTTGAGTAATTCTACGCTCACTTAAAACTAGCTCACGCGCAAGTCGCCGTGCCTACTTCACCTTGCTGTAGAGCACACGGTGGACCTCGTGGGCAACGACGGTCGAACTATCACTCGGATATCTGTTCTTCCACTAGCCCTTCCTGGTAAAGGTTATAATTTATGTCTTGATAGTCAGTTCGAAGCGTTTGCGGCCATCCTATAAGCCTATAAAGTGCTGTATGCACTATGTTCTTACCGACAAAAACAAGAGAGACTGGAATGGCCATTTCTGGCTTATTAGTTGTCGTCAGTCAGTCATACCCAATCCCGAAGTGTGGAACACCCGGGGCTCGAACTCGCGACCTGTTAGTTAAAAGTCATCACCTATATCATGCGTCGCTGCGCGGCTGCTGGTTGGGTTCGATGGGGAGTGCCCGTAAGTCACAACGGAACGAGTGAGTTCCGTAAAGAACGATCGGTGAGCGTCCCCTACCAAAGCGCTGTGTCTAACGACTACCTAGATTGCCGTTGTGGGCTGAAAAAACATACGATGCATGATTTACACGAAACCAACAGCAATCTGATAAGGCGGTTACGTGTCCGTCATTCTCAAGAAAACTTTCGAATTATAATTCTCTGCTCACCAGTATTTTTAGGACTAGTATCCTATGTTTCAACTTTTAATAATGGCTCCTTTGATCCTCGACTTGCCGTTGCGTAAACAAGCACAAAGTCTTGACACAATTGTTTTTAAAAAGATTAAGTGAGCGAATAAAGGGGATTGTTCTTGGACTTATCGCTTGTGTATATAAAGCGGCATCACTTAACCCAGTTATCCCAGTTTCTAAAAAAGCCTCTGCCTTACCGTCCGAGCTTTAATTTGCTTACATATATCACTTTTGTATGAAATATGACCCCGTCCTAATGGCAAAAAAAGAATGGCATACAACTACCCAGACAAGGAATTCAGGATTTCGTATCTCACCTTTAGATAAAAATCGGTCGAAACATGGCCCTTGGTTAACTACGCACATCTGAGGCGTGCGATGCATTGGGAATTCAAATGGACATCAAGGATATACTTGCTGCCCTGAGGGAGGGGAATAATTCGTCGCTAGAGCAAGAATTCGATTTGTCTGTCGTCTTGGATTCACGCTCGAATTGGCCATGGGCGACAGCAAAACGTAAAGGTAATGAACGCACAAGACATAGAGTGCAGGGGCTGCGCAAATGCGCACGCATCAAACTGAGCAGCAGTCACATTCATCGCCGATGATCCGGCTTGCTGTGATGATTATCTGTCATGCGCATCGGAGTTGTTAATTCTCGCAGTTTCATTACCAATTCGCTTACTGGCATGATAATGACTCAGGAATTCGAATCATCGATCATGTCACTGAAAAGCGACGTTCGTTCGTACACTTCCCGCGTTACTAATTACTGTACCCACGCCAAGTCTGAAAATTGAGTAAGGATGGAAGGGGCCACTGCTCTCTCTGATGAACGCGAAGTCGAGAACCATGCCTCAGACAGTTGGCACTTCCCGTGACTGTTACCTATTGTGAGAACTTCTGTCCACTCGAAGGGGCAGCGACTTGACGATCAATGTTATTCCTTCTCACTGTTGATGTATGCTCCGTCACCAGCGTTAGAAAAAATTCCTGGCTTCTCTTACATATTTGATTTGCCCGCGATTTCGCTAGATGCAGGAAACAGTTCCAGTTTCAAAAAAAGGTCCGGACTCACCGCAGCAATTCGGTGAGAGAGGCCCGATACACCCGCGGCCAATGTATAAAGAATGGTCACAAATGGAGTTTATAAGCCGGAGTCTGCGTTTTTGCCCCCTAAGTACCCCACAGGAAACACCATCGATCATATAGCATGCTCTGCCTTATGTAACTAACACATCAAAGTGACCAAACACATTTTTGCGGGACTTGGTGTCGGAATTTTCCACTGCCCCAGGGCTGCCATGAACAGCAAAATTATTAAAATCAAAAACTGATTAAATCTTAGCGACCAGTCTGACATAGCGTACCGTATTTCGGCTGAAATGTTACTGTGAGTTGGGCTGGGCGTCAATTGGAATCGTTCGTACACAAACAGAAGCCGGTTCTGTAATGGGCTGACAAACTACTACAAGTGACTGGCCGTACCTTTGAAACAGGCCACTAAACCTCTTAAATAATCACCCACGCCGGAAGGAAGACAAATCGGTTTTTGATTGGAGCCTGGGGCTCGGATGTATCGATCGAGCGCATACGCGCAGAGGCCTCCGCAACTACCTGCGTCACTGATCATCAATTGGAACATTTCCTCTATTATTGTCGCTAACTATGTTGCCGCTATCACCTCTGGCGATGGACCCCTGCACGAGTTCGTAAGCCCGGAATAATAAACAAATGGTTACAGTGCTCGATCACTCTTCTTCCTTAGTGATACCTACATACATGGCAGTTCGACCATCGTCGAAGTGCCTTGAGTCGTTTATCGGATCTGGCGTAGAAGCCCCACGCTGGGAGGGTGAGGATGACCATCAGTTCCGGTGACAGTTGGCCAAATCGTCTAGTAATCGGCGCCAATTAACGACGCGGGTACGGATCGACATGCAATCAGCACATCAAATTCGACCCCCAGCGGTGAACGCGAATGTTGTCAGTAATTTTGTGCATGTGGTTGCCGAACAGCTGCGTTCTATAAATTCTGCGCTGCTTGTGCCTCCACTACCCCTTTTCTGCGACTGTCTCTGGTGGCGGGTTTGGGTGAGGATCCGAAACGTCAGGTCATTAAAGTTCTCATTCTACCGGTCACATCTTCTTCTTCTGAAATGAAGATTTGCACTCATAAGGGCGAAGGAATTGCTCGAAATTCTCTGGACCAGCCAGAAACGCCCTTCCAAAGCAGAGTTCGGTTCTTTCGATGAGCTCGCCATACTGTCTGTCTTGGTCTAGTGTTGAAACATCCAATCTTAACCCAATGTATCGCGTCATGTGACAGTTCGACCATCGTTTACGACAATGTCCGCCGTGTACTCCACAGAAACTTGAGCACGGACACGATGACTCGTACGTGAATTAGTTCATAGTGAAAATGGACTTGCACAGCATCTATCGCACTCCCATCTCCTTGCACCTGGACTCCGTGTCAAGACACAGTCAAGAGGACAGGAGGTGAAAGGTGGCACAGGTGTCTGGCGCGGCCGGGCTCGCACCTTGGCCTACCACCATATCCCCAGGTCCACAACAAACACTTCACCAGGAATTTGACCCTCAACAAAAATTGATCAGAAGGGAGGATGAGACTAGTCACTGGGCAACCATGCACACTACCTGTATACCCAGCGGGAGCGTAAATGAATCCACCCGCAGCAAATCAGGTGTCAGAGAACTGCCGGTGCACATCAGACTGGGAGTGTCATAATTTGCTAAAGCGTGGCATAGCATACGCCCACAGCCCTTAAGGCCTACAGGGATGAGACACAGCTCTGAATTTGGCCTACGTCATCATCCTTTAAAGGCCGGGTAATTAGTTGGTCATCGACTGAGAGGCACTACCCGTGTAAACACACATTTCTCACATGCATGAGAGTGTCAGGGGTCACGCCAAGAAGGAGCCGCTGCAGTCCGACTCTCAGATCATCAGTCCGCTACTCCACACAATCACATACAACTGGTTTCCGCAGGTTTTCATGAATGCGGATTGAGCCTAGTAGGCTCATGCGGCGGCCGAGTGTGCGAGGTCAGTATGGGCTGTTGATGCGGATGCGTCTGGTGTACGTTGGTACTCCAGGCACTGGTTCGCCAGTCTCCATGCTGTGGATTCGTAGGTCACCGACGTTCAGTAGGTGGGCTAACTCATGAAATGTCAACCGAAATTCCGAAACGCGTTTTCGTTTTGAAATGATTACTTAAGTAGGGTTATAAAAATTAATCATCATACAGCATAATTCTATAATAATTCAGTTACCTGGGGGTGCCAGCTTTCGGATGAACTTCTTCCCGACTGCATGCGAAAACCACACTTCGTAAAAATGACTAATTACGTAGCATGCATTTTTCTCCTTGATTTTCGATGCCCTTAAAAATTCAATTATATTTCATGGAAAACATGCATAAAAGTATTCATCCTTTTGCTCTTTCGATGGAAAACTACGACTTCTTCCAATTTTATACTCGAAGGAAGGGTATAATTCGGTCTTCAAAAACTTTTCCAATTCCAGACTAATTTTGGACCCGTTCTGCCGTTACACTTGCGTCCAGGATTCCCAAACTATAAGCCGTAAATTTTCTGCGTACACAAAAATCATACATTTCTCTACGGTATTAGGAGGCAACAATACCGGGGTGCATGAAATCTAGCGGTGGGTTTGAGCTATATTATTTACTTAATAAGCCTCATCGGTAAATACAGAGATATGGCGTTTTATGAACGAAATTTTCACGGTATTAAAACATTTCCCTATAAGAAACTTTTTGAAAACCGAATTATATCCTTCCTTCGAGTGTAAACTTGGGAGAAGATGTAATTCTCCATCAAATGAGCTAAGGAATGACTATTTTATGCATGTTTTCCACGAAATGTAATTGAATTTTTAAGGACATCAAAAACCTATGAGACAAATTCATGCTGCGTAAGTAGTCATTTTTTACAGAGTATGGTTTTTGCATGTAGTCGGGAAGAAGTTCGTTCGAAAGCTGGCATCCCGAGATAACTGAATTATTATGGAATTATGCTGCATGATGATTAATTTTTACAACCCTACTTAATTAATCCCTTCGAAACGAAGAGGCATTTCGGAATTTCGGTTGCCATTTCATGAGTTAGCCCATCTACTGTACGTACTCATATATGCAAAAACTAAGCAGGCCCATCGTAGACTAACTTCAGTGATCGAACGAAACCCGGTGCTTTACACGTGGTATGGTCGCTGGTTCGTACATAAACTTCCATACCCAAACAGAAATTCGCCTAACATTCGAACATTCGCCTCCATTCGTATGTGCTTACGGTTGAAGTTGCGGGTCTTCTGGCTTCATTATTTGATGCCTGATGATGGCCTGCGGTCCTCCAGCTCCAAGTGGTAGGAGAAGGCAACTAACAGCATTTCAGATCTCCATGACCTATGGCAGCATCTACAAACTCTGTTCTTTCTTTCTGTCCTTGCTAACATCCTTTTCGTAAACAATTAATTGCGCTGACCCCGCATTGGAGAGTGTCCCAAAACACCGATATGACACCCTTACGTAACCGCGTTTGCTGCCGTCTAGGTGGATGCTGTTGAAGTCCAGCATTTGCGTCGTATATGGCGCTCTACCGAAAACTTTGGTCAGACGAACAGGCAAATAAAGGCCCACGGTTTTTTACCTTTTGGACAACTGAGGGAGGACGGTTTTATGATGTTTTTTTTCTGAATGTCAGCACCTAGCCCTGCTCGATTACGACGAAGGTTTAGTCCGAAAAGGGGGTTCAGTACTTCGATCGGCAGTTTTGCAAAACTGCCAAATCAAATCGTCTCAGAAACGCACTGGCCACAATTCCAAAAATCGACGAATTCGTTGCGTGACCTTCACCTGCTCGTCAATTAACCCGGTGAGTTTGCGGTACGTTTTGAGACAGTGTCTTAGGATTTGGAGGAGTTGGGCCTGTCTAAGACAATTCTGCGACTTATTTTCCTTACTAAGCAGCATTACCTCGTTGGTTTCGACTGTCAATTTCTGGAGATGTGGTTGAGTAACAACCGAATCTTACAATTGCCCTATTCTATCTACGCCTACAACACCCCTTTCTCTTGCTATCTTGGATGATGGGCTCTAGTGCGAATTCGAGACCCAAGAAGAATATGAGTCCTACTCTGACATTCGGCTATCTCTCCCCTCAATTACTTCCTGGAACTTGTCTTTACGTCTGAATCGGTGGGCTTCATTCTGCCCTGCGGGACGGAGTACTTTGGCAGCTGGTTTGTCCTAAGTATGGTCATTTTAGCCACCTCGTAGTGCACTTACTCTAAACTCCAGCTCCAAGCAGAGCGGGATGTCCGTGTTATGTCCTGGAAACAGAATAGATCGTTCATTGCCAATCGCAGCTGTCATGCTGCCCAGACGCTCCCATTCCATGTTGGCATGAGGCAGTTCGACTTTTGCGGGTGAAGACGACCACTGCGTACCCCCCTCCTCCCCCCTCCCCCGCAATACGTGCAGAATCGTCGAATTGCACGTGAATAAGGTTTATGGTGGGGCAGACTTGCATACCATCTACCGCGCTCTCTTCTCCTCCGCCCACCTTGCTCCGACAGTGAGACAATTTCAGGGCGACCGGAGGTCGGCACGGGCTTAGTGGTTGACAAGATCAAACAGTTCGTCAGGGAGTGCCACTACCGACCTCGCCTTCACAGAACGTATCAGGCTATTGCGAGGACGCTCCAGACCTCAAATGCATGGGAGTGCCATAAAGAGCCCATTAAAAGGAGCCTTTGAGCCTGACACTCAGCCCTCCAGTCACTGCAAAATGTCCCCATCCATCAGTTGACAACCTTCCCAGCCACGATCGTTTTTACGGAACTCACTCGTCCCCTTGTGCCTTACGGGCCCTCTCTCTCTCGAGCCCAACTAGCAGCCGCACAGCAGCGTAGCATTACTGGCAAAAACAAGGGAGACTGGAATGGCCATTTCTGGCTTATTAGCCGTCGTCAGCCAGCCATACCCAAGTCCGAAGTGTGGAACACCCGAGCTTCGAACTCGCGACCTGTTGGTTTAGAAGTCCACGCCTCTACCCACATGGCCACGAGCCCGTTGCCCTCTCTCATGTGCCAGTGGACACTCCGAGTCTCCCTGCGAACTAGTACTGGGAAGGAGTTGGACGATCCGTTTACGTGTGACAAATACACGCGACGGCATGCAGAGGGTGACCTGTACTCCCGTCGTACCTGTACCCCCTGGAGGCTATCTACTATGTCCTTTTTGAGTAAATGTCATCCTCCCCTTTTACGGGCTTCATTTGCTCCTGTGGAGTAGATTACATTGGTCGCACTAGCTGGCGCCTATCCAAAAGCATATGGGAATATCTCTCCGTATGAGTGGGAAAAGGGGAAACTAGGAGCATAAGCAGCTCCATTCTCGTGCATGCTGTTGATTCGGGGCATCGTGAGAACCCCATCGAAGCTTTTCGCGTAATTTATAAGGTTCCTTCGAGCTGCCCTAAGCTACTGGACGAGCATCTGTTAGCAATAGCAGAAGCGGCCGCCATCAGGTTACGAAAGCCTGTCTTGTGCGCACAGAAGAACCTCATTCCGGCTCGCGTTTGACGTGGTCACAGGTCAACTAATTGCAAACAGCTCTCCGCGCCCTTCCGCTCTCAACCCGCCTGTGTTTTCAAAACGAGCTTTAATCGATTCATCTAATTACTGACATGTCTGACTGTACCCTATTCCCATATAAGTGTACTGACCTGACGAGAATTTTCCGAAAGCAAAACGAAGGCTCGCCAACTAGTGTTCTGAAGGATAATTACCTCGATTACCGTGGCCCTTGCTGCACACTCCGATTTTCGCACCCTGCATGAGATCTGTGGTTCCGCGTCTCTTGCCCAGTTATGTCAACCTCTTGAAGACCAGCACCTAAAACAATGACCTTGAGCGCTCTCCTCTATGGACACGTTTTCTGACTTTTATCGCATACTCCAGTTGTCTAACTTGCAACTGTAACTCTGACCCTAGCTCATTAAATTGTTGTGTCTTTCAGCGTGGCGATTTACTGCCGCACATTTAGCCTCCTAGAGTTTATGACCTTAAGCTTCCCAGTAAAACTTTTGTCAATCGAATATGACAATTTTGTAATACATATATGTTTTGGCAGATTTTGAATAATTCACATTGACTCAACTGTGCAAAACTCGGCGCCTCGGTGGGATTCGAATTATTCAAAATCTGTCAAAACATCTATGAATTACGTGAGCCTGGTAGTCACCTGGTGGTTTCTAGGTGGATTGTGCCCTCTAAACGGGCCACGTGTTAGATGCGCTGGACCAACACTGGGGCCACATCGGACTCTGGCAAGCGTTATCTGTGCGCAATAACAAATGCCAACATTTGTGGGGTGCGCTGGCGGACCCTGTTGTCGGCATTCGTCGCTCAACTGGACCACTGCCGCCACCCCATTGTTGTGTGGTCAAAATCCTGGTCATTTGTGTGTAGACCAAGGGGTGCGGAGTGGAGCGCCAAGGTGAGGATCCGTCCGAGCCATCCACCTGCGGCCCCCCCGTCTCCGGTCTTCTTGACTTGGTCTTGACACCGGACTCAGGCGGGGGAGGAAGAGAGAGTGTAGGTAGATGCTACGCAAGTCTACTGGCACTATAAACCCCTGCGTAAGTCACCGTCCCTACTCCCGCAACGCAGTCTGTGGGGCACACGGTGGACATCATCGAAATCGATGGTCGAACTGTCTAGAAGGATTACTTAAGAAATCCTGATTGGGCAGTCAGCTTACTGTATCAAATTTGGTGGATTCCGGTCGTCGCAGTAGGCTGGGCGGGTAATTTGACCCAAATGTGATTAAACACATGTCCTCCGGTTGGGCCTCTTAGTTCAGGTGGCTAGAGCCTTGGCTATACTCAAGCCTCCCCTGCTGTCGTGGGTTCGAATCCTACGGAGGCGTCGAGTTTTTCACTGTTGTGTCAATATGGATTTTGTAATAGGTGAACCGGTCTATACTTGGACCTAAAGGGTAGATATACGCGGGGATGTACACGAGTAGAATGAGAAGGATCAAAGTAGCCACGAGCATGTGACCTGATGTTAACTTATTTCTGAAATTTGTGTCTAAATTTTGCAGGAGTATGCTTGAAGCTCCAAAAAAACGTTTTTTTTTCGTGTCATTACAATACGTCCCCCCCCCCTCCCGCCACTAGGAGCACGGAATTCGAATATGAAAAACTTGCCCGAACTAGACAGGCGTAAAGCCTGATGTACAAGTTGGTAATGATTAGGGAAACGAACGTGACGACCACTGCATGTAGGAGGTAAGTTTGGGGAACACACAGGCTTATCGGATCCAAGCGGGAGCGGAGAAATCTGAGAAAGCACCGCAGCAACTAAAAAGGCTAATCTGTCAGGGTGGGCGTAAGGGGGTCGGTATAAGCCACCTCCATCCGATCGATTGAGGCCACTTCAGTGAGATTGTCACGGGCGGTTTTTAAATGCTTGCACTTGCGTGACAGAATTTTAAAGAGACCGCCGTAGGCCGTTGTAGTGGATTACGAACATTATCTACACGGAAAGGTACAAAAATACATGTTAGCAAGTTAGGGTCAACACACGACCCGTTTGCTGAAACGTGTAGAGTGATATGACTCGGAGAGTAGCCGTTACTCAGCGCAACCGTTGGACATAGTCGGTGGCATCCGGACCGACTAAGCCTTGAGGCGACCAGAAAAACCACCGGGAATCCGTGGGGTACTCCCGTAAACAAGTTCTACAGTGAAACACTCCAAGTCCAGTTTGAGCCCGTGTGAATATAGAACATGACCGAAGGGAATGCCATCTTCAATGAGTGGGGTTATCATAGGCTCCGGGGAGAAGTTTTGCGTTGGCGGTGGAAACGTCCCAGTAGACTGTTGGATGAGGGATGGTGGGCTGTTGTGTGTATGCAAGAACGTCCGAGGAGATCTGTAAGGGCATTAAAAAGTCTAGATTCAAATTGTTGGCCTCGTTTGGTGATAACAATTGTTGGGACACCACAATGGATAATCCAGTGTCCCAAAAGGGCACGATCGACAATATCTGCGGCGATGTTTGGAATCAGAGTCACGATGGGCCATCGCGTAAGTCGGTCAAAGGCTGTGAGCAAGTAGTTGCAACCAGGGGAATTTCACAAAGGACCCACGAGGTCTACGTGCACATTGGGGAAAAGAATACAATCGATAAACCAGTCTGTGCTTACACTTAAAGGTTACTTATACGTGGACATGCACGCAAGTAAACTAAGAAGAAACAAAGTAGCCACGAGAACGCAGCCTAATGTTAACTTGTTATTGAAAGTTGTGTCTTACTTTTGCATGAGTGCATTTGGTGCATTTAAACAAACGCCCTTTTATGTCGCTACAGCTCTGTTATTGCGTACACTTCTGCCAGGGGTATGTCACATCTTCAGATGTCACGTACTTGTTTTTCGCATGTCTCGGTTGCTTGTTTGATTTTGTTTTGTTATTCTACTCTGCCTTCTGTTATCATTTTTCATTTTCTATCAGTCGGCACTTGAAAGCATTCCTCTCCCCCCCCCCAAAGCGCTGATTTCCAGTCGATTTCATGGTAAGGCAAGACGCCCACTCCGTCCTCCACTGACGATAACAAAAGACTTGTAGCGCGTTTATTCCGTCATATCCTCCGTCAGACTTCACTGTCCCATTTTACCACACACGTTTGCTTGTCTCGGCGGACTTAGAAGTCTCGGGCATCTCACAGCGCGTTCTTAGTGTAGACAGGCTCCTCTTTCTTGCAAAGTTCACCCACGTTTCGTCGTGTTCAAAGATTTTGTGATGCATTTACGATATGGTCTTTTGAAAATGTGATTTTGTATTGCAGAATGCCTACCGGAAGACAGAGCAGCCCGGAGACGATTGACATTCTGTGTGTTCAACCTCTGCAGCCTCTTCCGAAATGTGCGGTTAATCATTTCCAGGGAAATGCAGCAGATCAGGTTCAACATTAGACATTTACATAATTTCGGAAGAAAAACATTTCTGGCTGCGCCAAAAAAAACAGTTAGTTATCGACTGCGAACGCTAGCATTCTTTCTCTTCGACCGTATGCAGTAACTATTGCACATGCTAAGACGAACTACGAACATACGGTGGTTCACACAGCCACACAGAAGTCGTTATGAAGCGGAATGATTTGTGAATCCCGTGAATTCACACCGACTGTTCCACTTCTGCTTCTCACTTCAACGTACAGCGGCTGCGCCTTCGGGGGTGCGGATAAGTCATTTCTTCGGTCAGCAAGACCGACATTAGGTCATTAATGAGAGTCTGAAATGGGGGGGGGGACAACTAGTAATTCCTGCATCGCGGGCATCACCATGGCCGTAGCCGCCGCTACCATTACCATTATCTCTATTTTTCT